TCCATCCAACAGCAGGAAATCGACAATACCTCCCAATGCACCCAATCACAGTAAGTGGCAGATCAATAAGGACGGGAGGGGATTAAAGTGGTTTTCCTACTTGGCACCACTTTGGAGCTGGATCCCACAGCAATAGGATGAGTCAGGTTTCCTCCAGTCTCGCAAAAGCCAGATGTGCAGAACTCAGCCCCGGCCATCGAGGTCTCTGCTTACCCTGCTGAGGGGTGACTTCTATGCTAGCAAATCTTACCCTGCCCAGCAGCATCAGGGAACAAAACAAAGTCTCCGAGATGCAACGTGAATGAGCCACGCTGAGCTCTCCGCCGGCGGAGCTGGCTTGTTACAGAGAGTCGGAACGAATCGACCCCTGCACCAATTCCACCCCGCCTCAAGGAGCAACGCGTCTCTTGTCTCACTGCACTGACTTTGTCACACATGGCTCCTTTGCCTGACATGTGCAGCACAGTATCCAAGGTGATCCTCAGCTCACCTCGCAGCCACACGGAACACAAGCATGTCCTCGTTGCCTTTCACGCGGCTGGTTTTTCTACGTTTCGGGATAGGCCCTGACAGATCCACTTCGCAGGATGCCTTCTCCAAGATGCTTCTCGAAGCTGCAGGTAAAATAAATTCCCCTACTAATCGGCATAAAGGGGAAAGTCACAGACACCGGCATCCTCTGGATCAAAAAGCTTTTCCTTTTCACAACATAATTTCACTGCCGGCCTCCGACACCAACTCTCACCACAGGCAAAGTTCTGCCTCTTGCTGCACACCTGTGTAATCCCATGTACATCACTGAGATGAGCAGGTGAAACCGAAGGCAGAATAGTCGCCAGCCTGCATCATGTCTTCTCTGAGTGTCTCTCTCAACAGCATTTAAGGTGAAGTGGAGAACTTCTCTACAAAGAAAGACCTGAACTAAATCAGGCCACTATGCCCTGTATGCACGTCTGTATTTCAAATGCAGGGTTCCTTCTTTACTGATCTTATATGGCCCCCATTGCAGACTGGTGAAGGGGCACCACCCACATGACGCCCCCCCCAAGCCTGGGGAAGGACTGGGCTAACTCCCCCTCTGCCCCAGGCTCTGCTCCTCCATGCTCTTGCTCTGTCCCCTCCCCACCTCTTTCCCCTCTCCCAGGCAACACAGCTCAGGGGCCTAGTGCTGGCAGCAGGGATCCACCCCCCACACACACACCACCGTGGAGAAGAGGAAGCTGGGGCCATTGCTCTGCTCCCCCATTACTGCCAGTGAATGCGGGAGGTAAGGGGTACATCCCTGCTGCAGGCACCAGATTTGCCCCCCCCCCCAGTCTCCCAGCCAACCGGTCCCTCCTGCCCATGGCACTGGGGACACATGGCTCCTTGGGTCCCCCATGCGTCACCTGTGCCCCAAAGCCATAATATCTAAGCCTCTCAGTCTATAATGCAGTTATCCCCACAACACTGCTGTGAAGCAGGGCAGCACTCTTAGCCTCAGTTCCTCATCTGTACAATGGGGATAAGTGAAGTCATAATCAGGAGTGCCGATCAGCATGCGGTGATTAAGGGGTTAACTATGTCTCCTGTACCTAGCCAGGTATCGGGTAGCCAGACAATGACAATGCAGGTAGGAATTTCAAACTGGAAGAGAGGGGCTTTTTTCTCTCTCTTCTGGGTTTGAGATTTTTAGAGCAGTTTTTTCCAGGCATGAAGGGAAATGGAAGACACTTTTCTCTCCAAAAACAGACTTCTTACAATGTGTACGTAGGAAAAAGGTTAGCTAGTCCATCAGGTTTTATTGTTTTCCTTGTTTGGGATTTTGGAACTAATGTCTGAGCTGTTAAGTGTGGGGTTTTTTTTCCTCTTTTGTAACTAAAGCTGTTAGTCCCTGTCAGTATTTAGCTCAATTCGTGGCCCTTTCCATCTAGCCGCTTTACTATGCTTGCAACTGTAGCTTTGTTCTGATAATAAAAGTTTGTTTCCTTTTTTCTAATTAACTGGTACTGGTTGATTTTTGTGTCCTGGAAGGTCTGTCTGTGGGTCCCATCTGTTTTTCCCAACTTCACGCAAAACAGAGGGTGGGGCAAGGGGAAAGTTTTACCATAGGAAGGGAATTTCCCAAGTGATTTCTTCCCTGATTTTTCATGGAGTTACTTGGGTGATGGCAGCGGATTCTCCAACGTCCACGTATTAGGATTTGGGGGAGAAGTTTTTGTACCAAAGCCTGCAGAGACAAGGTTCTGGGGTGCTCTTGCAGGCCCCCACTTCTGCATTCATCATGCCCCATGCCTTGCCCAAGGTTATGTCACAGAGGAAGTCTGTGGTAGAGCAAGGAATTAGGCATGCCTTCCAATACCTAGGTGAATGCCCTAACCACTAGGCCATCCTTCCTTTCCTGTCAAAGGACTATTAGCTCCAGCAGCGGACAGCTTCACAGACTCCTGGAACAAGGCAAGAAGTGGTGCAAGATGACCCTTGAGCTATTTCAGGAGTTTTGGGAAGCCACCGGCTGCCCTTGGAGAATCACTAGCTCCTGAATGAACAAGCTGGCAGGTAAGTGATTAACCCCAAATCCTGACGCAAGAGGAAAGGGGCTTGGGAGCAAAAGGGGAAATGATTTACAAAGTCGTTTGTGGCAAGATGGACATCCTTGTAACATTTAAGCTCACTCACAATGTTATAGGTTCTCTCATCATAATCAGTTTTCAAGATTTAAAAACTTAAATGTTTTGGCTTTAGAGAACTTTGCTAGTGTCACTAAAAAGAAGGGCATTTTTAGACTAAAAACTAAGGCGACCTTTTAATTCAGCTTTGTGTAGTTTTATGTAATACGCCAGAAATCCTAACTGCACACTGCTTCCAGTCCTTTCATCAGAATCGGTTCTAAACAGCTCTAAAATAAATCCGCCACTAATGGTATATTTAACTCCTCTATAGCCCTAACCTCAGAAAGCAGATATCATTCCTCAGTGGCAGATGTCAGCCACCAACTTCCATACGCAGTAAATCTGGAACTGAAAGAATACTTGCAGGGCTGTCGTTTCCTTACAAGAAAAGGCTGCACGACGTGTCATCTTTAGGGTGCTCCAAGAATGCATGGATCATTCCATCACACAACCAGATCTCTCATCCCAACATAAACTAGTGCAAAGAGATCAAAAACCGAAACCAGCTTCTGGGAAAGGCAGTTTGATCTGTTTGTAACACAAATGCCAAAAGGGCAATCTCAGTTGATTGTTATATTTTGGGAAAACCACAATGTTTGGCTTTGCTGGATTAACTGTTGAGTCTCCTTTTCCAGCATAAGGAGGTACCGTCTTATTCTTCCTTATAATAATAGTTGGAGGAGCAGGAAAAACTTACATAGGTGGTCTGCTTTAACTCCATGAGATTACTCATCTGTATAAACCAGGCTACTCACATGTAAAGGTTAAGTAAGTGTTTAAATCTTTGCAGAATTGGGACTAAGTCAGGAAAGTATTAAACAGAGGAAGAAGTATAAAACACAGAGTCCTTGAAAACTATTGTACACTTTCGATCCAAGTTCTTCAGTGTGTATTTTCTTAAAAACATACAGATTACTAGGCAAGAAGTCACAACAGCTGAAAAAGTTACTAGAAAACATGCAAAACTCATTGATGGAACAAAACCAAAGGCCGGCCTAGGACAGAGAAGAAGGTTGCAATGCAGACATTTGGGCTTTAAGAGGACTTGTTAGTTGTCTTTGAGAGTTGTCAAATTAAAATGCACGTTTGGAAAAGATCACCTGGATACTCCCAACATTCCCTTGCCTTTGTTAGCAATAAAACCTGAGGTTATTAGAACAGGACACATTTAATATCTACTCATCAACAGATAGGCTACTTGTTTCCATCAGGAGCTCAGAATGGCCAGGGAAGATAGAGTAGCCTGCATCATTTTTGTTTCTAGTCAATTTCATTCTCTGGTTCCCATGCACTTCTAGAGCAAAGGTTCAGGTTGTAAAGACCTAAAGCGAAACGAATTTTTCAGCAAAATTAAAAAGAATTCGGAAACATTTCTGGTGTGATTATTTTTGAAAGAAAACTTTTTAAGTGTGAAAACCTCAAGAGCCAATCATGCCAATCTGTACATGTACCCAATGGGAGAGCTGAGTACACCATGCTAATCTGACTTCAAAAGTTGACCTAGAACTACCTAACAGGGTTCCTTTACCAGAGAAGCCTTAAAAAGAATCATCATACATGGTTTACACCTTGTGACCCAATACTACCAGGTAATCTGTGAGCACAAACTCCTGAGCCAGTGAGGGATCCCGTTCATTTTTTGGGACTGTAAAGGAGTAGTAATCCCTCATAAGATTGCTTCATCAGCTAGGAGAGGAAGCAATGCTATCATATTATGGTTAAGGCAGAGTTTACCAGAGCTTTGAAGAATTCGTCTCATCCAGGGCAAGTCATTTTTTTGTTTTTGTCAGATGACTAGACCGTTTTTCTTTAACTCAAGATAGAAAAAAAATGGGATTTTGTTTCTGAGCTAGTAAATTTTCAGGGTAGCATTTGAAGCCCAAATATCAAAACTAAAAGGCACACAGTCACCTTATTAACCAGCAAAACCATTTCCATCTGAGTTTTGTGTACCTGTTTGTCACAATCACCACCTAAGACTAGTCCATTTTGCCAGCTTGTTTATGTTTTAGAGCTGGCCAGAACTTTTCTATGTGGCCGCTTTCACCCTTCCCAGAGGATAATCAGGTTGCCCTCTTTTGGGAGCCTGCCACACAACAAGGAAAGATTCTTTTGAAAAAAAGAACCCCAGGAAACCAGACACACACAGCAGTTGGCTAGAGGGAGGGACGGACTCAAAAGCACATATAGGACCTGAAGCTACTTTTAATCCAAGTTGTTTTTTGAAGCTGACTAGATTCAAGTTGCTGGCACCCCAATTAGCATCTAATCGGCGCCACCTGGGTTATTTCCTGGGTGGCTAAGACACAGTTTCCTTCAAATACTGCACGTCCCCTCTCCCCCATTTACCTGTGACATCTGTGGCCTGAAGTTGATGTCCTTGAGATCAATAGATCCAGGGGACAGGTTATGAAGCAGCTGGCAGAGTAAGACTCCATCTCTCAAAGCCTGCGCCAGGTCAAACACCACGGCCGAGGGCCAGACCACCCTGTGGTTGGGGGGCAACACTTTGCAGTCTATAAGCCAGCGGCCGCACTGCCGCCACTCCTCCATAGCCGGCAGAGTAACGGGTCCTTTCTTGAGAAAAGAAACGAGACTTGCTCTGGGGGAGTTGCTAGCGGCCAAGCCTGCGGTCAGAGTCGCCTCTCTCCTCCTCTCTTCATCGAGGACACCCGCCAGCCGCTGGTTTCAGTTCCTCCCTCCTTGGCTCCGGGGCTAGTTGGGAAGCGTCCCCTTGGAAGATCGCGCCGGGCTATTGCGCTTTTCCATGTTGCTCTGCAGCCCAGGCAGGAAGCATCGCGGGGCAACACACAAGGGGGGGGGGGACTTCGACGGCTCCTTCCTCCCTCCCTCCCCGGTCGGCTCTGGGCAGTGCTACTGAACAGACCCCAGCCCGGCGGCGCCTCGCTGCATCGATCCCCCCCCACCCGGA